TTCAAAGCTGTTACCACTTGCAAGAAGGTAGAATTAAGCTCTTTGAGTTCATGTCCTTCTTGGTTACACAGCATTTTTTCCCGTAACAAAGTTACAAATTTAATTTCATTGTCAGTGCATCTCTTCCACTGTCATTTTCGAATAATTACTTAAATGAGGACATGCCCTAGAATTCATCTTTATTTAAAACTAATTCTGAACCCTCGTTTCTAGTGAAGCCAATGTGAAATTGGATTGTACAAGAACTGCAGGCTCAGATTAATAGTTTCTGCTGTGTGTTACTATTGTAGGAATTCAGTGTTAGAGCTGTGGTCCATCTCCATGCCAGTTAATCTTTGATATGTCCTCCTACAGGAGGGGATGAACTCCGCAATTAAATAGAGGTTCTCCCACTAAGTGATAGATGGCAACATTTCAAATGGCCAGTGTCCAGTGGAAAACAACTTAAAACAAGAGGAGAGAGAATATTTTCTGTTGCATTGTAACAACCACAGATTAGTGTGCGTGTAATTCCTGTCAGGACCTGATGCTCAGCTAGCATGATGTGCCTATCTTGAAATGTGCAGGAATCTTGCAGTCTGGAGCATTAACATGCAGTATTTCATTTGCTCTAGGGCAGTCATTTCTAAGTTACCTGAAATGATCTCACTGCAGATGAAAGCTGTTCAACTGAGCCTCAGACTGACTTCACCTCAGGGCAATTTCACCTCTGGTTTTTGAACCTTGAGGCTGACTGATCCAATTCTCCAGACTTCCTGGTGGGCATACTGCTTACTACTGACCATAGGCCCAGAGGTTATCTGAAATAAGCAGTAGGAAACATTTTTAGGTGTAGAAGTCATGAGCTTAAGGACTTATTTTAATATTTGCCTCTGTCAGCCTCTTTACTGCGCAGTTTGCACCAACTTAGGTTTTTAAGGTCTACATTGGAAATAAGGCCAATTTATACTCTCTGAAATCATATATACACTTACATTACCTCTTGGTCCACTTATCACCACTGAATTTGTCTCACTAAGTTTAAGGCACACTTTTTGCTACGTAAATAAAACGTGGACATGGTGAGGAAATTAAGGATATTCAACTGGGGACCACTCCTTACTTCAATATATGTGTTGCAATTAGTGGCTTCTTTTCCCCAACATTCCCTCTCCTGGCCCACCAGTGTGGATCAGAGCAGCTTGACTTTGTCAGGAGTCCATTCACAGTCAATGTGGGCAGGCTAAATGTCAGTCCAAGGGAATCTCACATCAGTACCGAGAATACCAACAGATGATAGTGTAAGTAAATTTACCTTCTGTTGGATTTATTCACTCTCCTATGCTTTGCTCCCAGTGAAAATCTTAGGTGACATTATAGAGCAACATACATAAGAAAATGCACTATCTCAACAGCAGTGAACATTTCAAAGCATTCTTGTTCCCAGTGAAAACAATGATAGCTCAAGTCAAACCAACATAGTAGGGGTTTCATTACAGTAGGTTTATGTTTTACAGAATGAATTCAAACCTTGCTTTTGTTTAGGAGGAGTCACGCTATTACAACGTTCCCTGACATTTTTGACTGAATATGTTGTCCAATTATAGCTTGTTAAATACTTTGGGAAGGTCTCAGGCCAAGTGGTTTACACAAACCTGTTCCAACTCCAGACTCAAGCGAGTGACTGAAAGCTGCAGTGGCACGAGCTGCTGCGTGTGTGCCCCAGTGGCATCTGTATCTGCATCCACACAGGCTCCTGCTCTGCTGCCTCCCACCAGCGTGAGCAGAGGCCCCATCAGACTCCCTAGGAGTGATGAGCAGTGCACATCCTGTCCTTAACTCATTCTAGAAGTAACAGGTAGTTTTTGGTTTGGCCCAGAAATGGTGGGCCCACTTCTTACTTACACTAGGACCTCTTTACACTACTCTATCAGTGGAAAATTATGTTCTGGTAGGCACAAATACTGTCGGAGCTAACATCTGCAACTTTTGCCTTTGAAGCTCACATAGGGAGTTACACTAACCTGTGATTCAATTTCGTTGTCATTTTACTGCTGCCTTGGGAGCACAAAATCGAGCATCATACTTAAAACGTTTCCCTAGAAATGTTTAAGGAGTAAGATTTTTATTTTTAAGTTGAAAATGTAACTGCATGCTTAACCAACTGTAGTGAAGCATCAATCATACTGGACAAGCAATTTTAAGAAATACGATAGTTTAAAAAATTAATTCTGAAAATACTGCCAACAATTTAATGATATAGATATTTTTAATATTAAAAGTAATTTTTTTAATGTGTCTTTATAAACAATATGCATAAAATAGATCTACTATACTAAGCTCTCTCTTTTTAAATGCTGTTTCACAGTAATTTCTTAGGTATGCAAAGTTTTCCCTCAAAGAAATAGTGCAATCTGAAGAACATACTTTATGTCAGAGGATTCGAACTACTATGGACATTAATATAAGTCTTTATAGATTTCTTGTAGGAGTGGATGAAGACTCATGTCTGTCTCCGTTTTCTTTATGATTTGCAACAGCTGCACGTGTTCTGTTACAATCTGTCTGAGGTCCGTCATTTTCTGCAGCAACTTTGCAAACAGCTGGGATGATTCTGGGTGGTTCAGCTTCAGCTGGAGCTCCAAAGCTTGCAACAGATTGTCTTGAATGTCTTCAATGGGCTTCACATTTAGCAAACCGGGGCGATCTAGGAAAACAAATTGGAAGTTGTAAGTTTATGCTGTAATTGATGTAAGAATATGGACATATCAACCTCATGTTTGGATTTCTTCACGATTTCTTAGTGTATTAAGCATTTAAGCACAGCACTTCCTGAGAACTGTTTGACAATTTCTTAATGTAATTATTTGTAAGATTTTACTGGAATTTGCTCAAAGAAGTTTTAGAGCTTGTCTTAGAAACAGTTAAAGCATTTGTGGGGTGCAGGTTTATAAAATACTACAGTGCATTTTCCACAGTGAGCTGGGAGTGTTTGTGGAAAGGACGAGTAAGATAAAGCTGGGGGATAAACAGTCCGTATCATGTAATTAACTTCTGGAAATTCAACATATACTCAGATGGATGCTAATGTATCGATATTAAAAAGAAAAAAAAAAAGCCTAAATTCAACTTCTGCAGTCATACAAACCTGGGAGATTTTAAAATAACAGGTTTAGTTCTTTTCCACACCCAAGTTCCAGTGAGGAAGAAGTCTCACATTAGGAAGTCTCACATTAAGAAGTCTCACGACAGCTTTTAGCATCAGCTCCTCAGCTCAGCCACAGATGCTGATGGCAGCAGGGCACTGAGAGATGTGGCTTGTACAGAAAATGCCTTCTCTGGGCTGATGCCAGCAGAGAGCTCTCCTCCATATGGAGGAATCTGGGATGAATGTTTACAACCAAAGTCAGCTACTTTCACTGCCACAGCTGCCAGAGTCCGGGATTATCTTTGGCACATCTTATTCCTTGGTAAAAAGCAAAATCTTTCTTTTTTGACAAGTATTATTATCTTCCATAATAATAACTGTTCTGTTACTTCAGTTTGTCCCCAAGTACCTTCTTAAATGGTTGCAATTGTTACCTAACGTAATTTGTAACATTTGTTTTCTAACTTGAGGTAATAATTATTTGATTCTACAGCCATAAAAGTCAATAAAGTTGTTTAGTATTATTAAATCCTCACATATGATAGTGACCCCCAGTAATTTGTTACTGCTAAACTGCTTTATACTGGGTAATGCATCCTGATTATCAGAATACTCCATGAAAAAAACATTCTATAATTTAAAGAACATTTGCTGTGTAGCTATGAAATTAATTTCATAGGCAGATCAATAACAAGCAGTGCCTATAGCTAGCCTTAAATTACTTCTCTAAGTCAATATTTCCATTTCAGAAAGGACAAGATGCTGTTCTATATTAAAATTTTTAAAAATATGGTGTTATTTCCTGTTATCTTCATAACCTTTCTGTGCATCCAGTTCTACTAACTCAGCTTGGTTTGTGTTGTATACTAGAAACAAGACTGAGAAAAACCAAAGCTCTTTCTAAATAGGTGGGGGTTTTACTTCACAGGGCAAAAATTGCAGTGTAAACTAAAAGGCAAAGTTGGCATGAAAACAAATGAGTATCCAGAAGCCATGAGTACATGTGGGTCACTGATTAGAACAGGGTAGTTTCCTCTCAGAAAGGTGAGGTCTGGGGATAGTTTTTCAGAAATAGGAATCCTTGCGAGTTTGAATGTGGAGCTTGGTATTTGTTTGACGGTGGTTTTATGACGTGGCTGCTTTCAGCTGTAGGTGGCCGGACTCGGTGACCCACTTGGCCACTCTTTCCCTGTGGTATTTCATGCTAATTGAGCTGTGCTCGTCCTGTAGAGATCGCTTACTTATACCATTCAACCGAGAATAGCACGGAGGATGGCTCAGCAAGTCTGTAAGCAAATACCTGCAAGCAGAAAATCGTCTCCAAACAAGCACCTCCTTTTCATAATTTCCTCTGGCAATGTTATCAAGCCATTTTTGAAACATTCTTAGAGAATTTTTTCTAAATAGTAGAACTTTATTTTTAGATTACCTAAATACATGTGCTGCAAAACCTGGCTTCTTTCTTTATCTCTTTCAGAAACTTCCCAAATTTCAGCACTTCAAAGCTGTTAATAATTTTGGCTTTGGGTTGCGACAGCTTTAAATTTTACTTCTGCGTTGCAGATGAACTCTGAACTAACCGGGTATGACTCAGTGCACAGAGATATAAAAAATCACAACGACTGTGGCCTTGATTTCCTCTGAGATTCATCTCCATTTGCCCCCTGCTTCTTTTATGGTGGGAATTTTTAGGGTGTGAGTTTTTCAGAAGTGAAACCAAATTCAAACATTGTGTTCCCCAGTGCAACTTCAGAGTCCAGGAGACGAACCCTGGAGATCAGTACTGAGACTGGGACTTACCAAGGAGCTCCCCAAATTTGGGTGCCCAAGGCCAATTGAAGTTCAGTGGGACTTAAGTGCTCAAAATCCTCAAGCTCCTTTAGAAACGGTTTTATAGTGACCCAGTGGAACCAGAGTCAGAAAAGATGACGATGACAAAAGCCTACGAGATCATAAGAGGTCATTGTTAAATAAGCCAATTCAAGAGAAAGGAAAATTCCCATTGAAAGCAAGAGGGATTTTTTCATGAATAAGAACTTCAGGATATGGACATTATTTTTTGGGTGTTGACAGTTTGCTATACTTTCTCAGTAAAATTTTCTTACAGAGGAAAATGCCTTTTGTGTTCCAAGAAACGTATCTAAAGCAGAAAAAAAAAGGGAAATAAGAGGCAAAAGCGTTAACATACAGGTATTGTGGTATAGTCCAAGTTGTTAAGATGTGCCAGATTCATTGGGCTGCTGTAGCAAAAGGTGTATTTTGTGCAGCAAGGAGCTGTAGATAGATGTGGCTTGTGGAAAAAAATACAAAAGAAATAATTAACAGTAAGCCTTGAGAAAAATTTAGGTAGAGAACAGGAAGAAATGGAATGGGAGTGAAGTAGTCGTGGTGCTGTGGTGGAGGTCTGTGCACAGGCAGAATTGCTGTTTGAGAGCTCACAGGGGAAACTGCAAAGGGACCCGAGGAGGGAAGTGAAAGACAAAGCCAAGCGAGTTGTAGCAGGACATTGTTTCAATGCATTGAAATTAGATTACAGAAGGTCAAAGGAGAGAGAGTTGAAATTATTAAGGTGAGAGCTCCCTAAAAGTGAACCGGACACCACTTTTAAACCCCTCTGCTACAGAAGATTGGTGACTGAAGTTTAGCTTTTTTAATGTGCAATTTGCGACCTCCCTTTCATCCACTCAGTCTATGCTTTGAGAGTGCCACATTTTTTATTATTATTTTCCTTTATTTGTTTTTTCTTTAGGCTTTCATTCAATGACACATGACTGTTTTGTTTAGTTGAAAAATTCTGCAGGAAGCTGCTCCAAGTAAGAAAATGTTCACAGCGACTGGGAAAGGCTGACGGCCTCTGAATTTTGACTGTCAATGGTATGGCTTTGTGTACATTGATACTCTATGCTATCTCAGGGAAAAATGTTTTGTTTGTTTATTTACTTACCGAGTCAGATGCTTTTTTTTCATTGTTCCTAACAATAATTTCATTTTTCCTGTTCCTCACATATGAAATAGCCATTTACATGCCTTTACCTCTGCCTCCATATGTTAATAGCTTCGGTTATATGCATTATGCATTTGAATACACATTCTGAAATCTTACTATGATAAAACAGGCCAATATATATGGCTGACTGAACAACTGTGCTACTTCTTTTGCTGGGGCAGATATGACTCAGCAATTTGAGGTTTTTTCTTCTGAGACTGTAACATGCATTTGAGTCACCAGGACTCTGGTTCAAAGTCCCCAGTGATAATCTGCAGCTCTGCATCTTCTCAGGAAGAATTTCTTTGTTTGAAGAGGTTTGCTGCAGCAGGATCTGTGTAGCAGTCAAATATGAACTATTTCTTGGTACCATTCAGTGCTAAAACTTCAAATATTGCTGACCTCAAGACTGTAGCATAATTATTCAATATAACGTTTAAGCAAGCAGCAGTGATTCATGGCTCAAAATTTACTGAGAAGAACACACTCAGAAAACAGCAAAAGTGAATACAGAAACATTTCTGAATTCAAATATTAGCTTGACTTCCTGTTGACTAACAGATTCTGGGCCTTTACAATACTCTGACAATTCCCGTACACCACTATATCCAAAACGCTGCAGAAAATAAGATGAAAAAGTGCAAGTCCATCCGTGATACGTAAACGTAGTGAAAAATTACCCTTTGAGCTTCTTCTTTGTTTGACTACAACCTGTTTGAGTGAGTTTACTCTGTCTATAAATGTGGATTATCCAAATAAGGCTTGGACTATTACGTTTCCTGCCCAAACACAGACATCATCCTTGTTCCCCTTAAACCTTCTTCTTATGATAGACTTCGTTTTCAGCTCAAGTATCCATAGCATTTTTGAAGATGCCCCACGTTCTTTAACACGTATACCATAGCACTCACTGCTGGCTGAGGCTGTGCCTTAGTGGCACAGAAGAATCCACAGAGAGGAAGGACATCTCCTTGAAAAAAAATTTACCAGACCTCATTTTACCAAAGCGTATTTTTCAAACTTACCATAAGTAAAAGAATGTTGCAATCAGAGTTTGGCATTGCTCTCAATGGACTAAAGCATTTCTTTAGTAAAAACAAGGAAATATCCCAGTGCTCACACACACAGTCTCTGTGTCTCATCAACATTATATTCAGAATACCAGAATTCATGTGTCATTTACAGTATTATTTTAAAGTACTTTGTAATTTGCTTTGTAATAATGAGTTCAGAGTAACATTTGGAATTATTGAGACAGAGCAAGGCTACACTGACAGCTCAGAAATGATAAAATGATTGGCTGTGGAAGTGGGAGCACTTTCATTTTGCTGCTGTTCTAGTTAATTTGTCAGCTTCTTATTACTGTTATATAGGCATTTTGCCTTTTGACACATAACTCAATTGTTTCAATTGTTGTCTGGAGAACAAGCCTTATGAGGAGCGGCTGAGGGAACTGGGCTTGTTTAGCCTGGAGAAGAGAAGGCTGCGGGGAGACCTCATCACCACCTACAACTGCCTCAAGGGAGCTTGGAGAGAGGTGGGTGCTGGGCTCTTCTCCCAGGTGATGGGGGATAGAACAAGGGGAAACGGCACCAAGCTGTGCCAAGGGAGGTTCAGGTTAGAGATAAGGAGGAAGTTCTTTACTGAGAGGGTCGTCAGAAGCTGGACCAGGCTGCCCAGGGAGGTGGTGGAGTCACCATCCCTGGATGTGTTTAAGGAGCGGGTAGACGAGGTACTTAGGGATATGGTTTAGGGGGTAGACAGGAACGGTTGGACGTGATGATCTCAGAGGGCTTTTCCAACCGAGCCATTCTGTGACTCTGTGATTCTGTGAATATCAAAAGGCTGAACTGTTTTATGCCATTTTGGGTGAATTTCAAACCCTTACTTCACAATGAAAAGCTTTCTACATGTGATGTTCCAGCTGGAATGGTCTTTCTCTTTCCTTTCCCCTTCTCTCTCCTTTTTAGCGCTGCAGAAGAGATAGCGCCCGCGGAGCCAGCAGAACTGACAGAGTTTAGCTGGGCAATGACAGAGCCACTCAGAATTAGGGCGTTTGCTGGGACCTTTGCTTTGTTTCACAGAGTGGTTTTCTCCTAAGATATTTGTACATAGGATTTCTTGAAGCGACTTAAACATTAGAGTATTCCTGCAGCTAGAAAAGTCCTGGAGGTAACACGAGCTGGTTTTGAAATCCTGTTTTCAGTGAAATCATCCTGGTTTGGTACTCAAACAGGTCTTGCAGAAATGAAGTTCTGTAAGAACATAGCTCTTACAGGAGCGAGAGGATCTAAGAAACAGGATTTCAGTTCCATACCACGCAAGATACTATAGTCCCACAGAATGCACGCAGTTCAATATAGATCATATCTGACTGCAAATCCCATTATAAAAGCCACTCTCTAATTGGCAGCAAAGCTTTGTTGTTTTCAAAATAGAAACTCAGTTTTTAACGAAAAGCAATCATACTTTTTTGAACAACAAAATTCATCCTGAATAAAGATAGTGAGAGGGGTTTTTTTAATAAAGAAGTTAAAGGATTTTTCTAGAAAGGACTGATTTATATTTCACAGAGTCACAGAATATTACGAGTTGGAAGGGACCTCGAAAGCTCATCCAGTCCAACCTCCCTGCCAGAGCAGGATCACCCAGACTAGGTCACACAGGGTATTTATATGGATTTTCTTCAGAGTTATTTAAGAACTAATTACTAAAATTCAGGTGGTTCTTTACAGATCTGCATTTACAACTTTTTCCTAAGATAAAGTCTTGTGGATAAATCTGGTTCAGTGTAGTCCTTTTTCCCCCGATCATTGTCCTCCTGTGATCTGAAGTGTAAGATTAGTTGCACCATACCTATTTCCTCTAATGTAAACCAAACGTCAGTGAAGCAGAGCAGACCTAGCTTTTCAGGTGGCAAGTTCCCTTTTTTCAATTAGGAGTGGATTTTGAGAGGCTTGTCGCTCATCTGTCAAATTTCATTATATTAGAAGATGCAAATTACTGGCATGTTTTGTGTAGTGCCCTAATATGCTCATATCATATCTCCTCCCCGATCAAAGCCAACCGAAAATATAGCAATAACGAATTTTCCCTTCCTGAATTAATTCAGAGTCCTCAGGGATTGTTGTCTGCAAAGGTTTGCACAAGAAAATGTCTTCTGGGAACTGCACTTGTTTGAAGTGGATTTAGTTAGTCTAATAAACCATATTGTGATACCACATTTCCACTGAACGAAACACAATGCCAGAAGTAATTGTACATGGTTTTAAATGAAGCTATACGTAACAATGCACTCTCAACAAAGGGTTTGGTTTTAGAACAATAGCATGTGGGTGTTGTGTTTGATTGCTTAATCATAATCTAATAACAAAATACTCTGCATTGCTTTGTGGAGGATCTGAATTCAGAACGTTCAGCACATTCCTCCCATTGGTATCTGCAGCACCATTCTAAGCCAAAATACACACAGACCAGTGGGGTAAAATAGTCTTTGTGTGACATCAGTAACCTGATTGTATTGGCCAAAGTAAAAGACCTTCAATCTGACCCATGTTTTTTTTCTAATCTCTCAGTTTCTCAGTGGAAAGGTTTCTAAGTGGACTAAATCTGGGTAGCAGCCACTAATTCACAACATCTAGTAGCTACATCACCTCAGAATCAGATAGGACGTACTGCCTGCCTCCAAAACAGCTGAAAACTCAGTGTCTTTTCAATGATGTATTAGAATGCATCTAGCCTGATACCTGGCCTTTCAGATTGATGGTTTGCTCAAAGCATAATGCATCAACAGTAACACAAACAGAACAGCTTAGGAAACCTGAACAGGGCAGACACGTAATGCTTGCTTTTCTCAGGCATTAGGAGACCATCATTTTCCTAAGAAATGCATTCTTTCCCCTCCCCTTTTGAAGGCAAAGAAAACGTTGCACGAAAGAAAAAACAAGAACAACAATTAAAAAAACCCCACCATAAAATCCTGCAAGCCAAATGCCACATGTATTTTGAAATTGTTATGGAGTCAAAGCTATTTGTGTACAATTAGCAAGCCACACAGTCTAATTGCAGGTTTAAAAAATCCTCATGCAGAATTCTAACTTTTAGAAGCTCTTGCCAGTGAAATTCCACCCTTCCTGTTTTCAGAAAGATAGTCCTGGTTTTGTTTTCTCACTAAATAAACTGCTGATTCAGCAGGCATTTTCAGCACTATCATTAATATCAGGTCATTTACATTTTCAGTTTCTGCCTGAAACTGAAAATAAGGCAAACATCAAGAAAGCTGAAAACTAATGAAAACTATGTGTGCACAACTCACTCCCACCCCGCAATGCTGAGCACTTCGCTGTTTGGACAGGAATGAGAAGTGTTGGTTCTATTATCTAAAATATCATATTAAATAAGCCAGCACTTACCTCCACTTAGTATGATGACAGCTATAAATATTGCCAGGTCACTGTCATCTAATTCCAGTGCATTGAACTTCACAGCAAACTCAAACTTGGGCTCCATAAAGTCACAAAAAGGTTTTCTCAGACTCTTCAGAAACTCCCGTGTCATGAATCCTTGTCCTTCAGATATAAGAACTCCATCTTTATTCATCAGAGAAGCCAGGAGAGTGTATATGATCTCATGGACCCCGTATTTCAGGAGAGTTACTTGATCATTCAGGTCAAGATTCACAAAACCTGGAATGTTCTTGGCAAATTCTGTAATCTCCTGCACTGCCTCCACTGAGCGGACCTGGCAGCGCTGGAAAATGCGAATTGCTACCTCTTTGTTCTCCTCCTGCAGCGGGGACACGTGCTTGCACTTGATCTGATCTTCTCCCATCTTTAAAGAGTTCATGTCATAAATAACAAAGGGCTAAAAATAAAAGGAAAAGACAATTTACTTTCCATGAACTTTTGACTCCTGAGAAATTGAAGTAGAGTTTGGAGGTATAACTCATCAAAAACCACTTAGAAATCTATGAGGAATATATATCAAGGGTAGTTGACCCTAAAAGGTTAAATCTTCACAAACCTATTAAAGCAAATAGCCTCACGATGTTAAAAAGATTGACAGAAAGGACAAGTTGCCTCTATGGACTTCTCACATGCTTGTGAATCCACAGTCTAAAAATAGGATCTTGGCTGATACTTTTTGTTAATAATTAGGGAAGGGGGGTAAGGAACACGATTTTTAAATATCCATGATTTTTGCCTTTGTTCGTTTTACAGAAGTTCTGTAATAGCAGAATTCAAAGTCTGGAAGGTTTATTAATAAAAGATTAAAATGTTTCTCCTTTTACCTGAATTTTACTGGCTTCTATAAAACAGAATCCAGTAAGTGTGCAGTGCAGTGCCGTGTTTGTACTTCTATGATGTTACTTCTTTTTTGTAGCAAGAGAGCGTATGCACATTTTTATTACTTCACGTACTGTCGTGTTCTTTTCAAGTTCTATGCTTTTAGAAAGTGCTTCAAGTAATATCAACCTGATGGTATTGATTACCTGATACATTTAACTTTTTGCTGTTAATTCCTTTAAAAATAACAATGTCAGGATATATTTAAACTCGAGCAACTTGCCAGTGGAAAGAAAACACAAGTAACGTGATACAAACTACAGCAGCACAATTCAGAACACAAGAACGAGGCTGACTGTGAAATAAACCTGTCTGGAGTAAATTCATTTTGAAAGCAGATTAGAAAAAAGTAGTGCCTGGAAAACTTTCATTAGGATCTGGAGACAATCTGTTTCAGAATATGCAGAAGAAGCTCCTGGTTTTAAAGAAGTGGTTAAATGACCATTTCTTGAATTTATCTGAAGAATCTTTTCTGTAGGGGACAAATGACTAAAGAGTTCATTGCTGCACTGGACAACTATCTACTGATATTAATAAGTTTGTTAACATACTTGATAAATTAAATATAAGGAATTATGCATCAACAATTGGACTAAAGAAATGCATTTTAAAATTTAAGGTTCTTTATGATTACAGATTCTACTGCCTTTTTCATACGGGTGCTCTTTCTCCTAGTTTTATATTCACTGTAAGCTGCAGAACACATTAAAAAATAACCCAAGCCTTCCTATACAGAGCCAGCGGTCCTCTCCCACAGAATCAGCTTCTGGAAACTCCTAAAATTCTATTCTGATTTGATTGAGCCTGTTTTGAAGTGTTAAACCTGTTTTAGGCTATTATGGAATTTTAAAACCTGCAAATAGCTCTGTTCTTTAGAGCCTGGCGTTGCCTTCTGAGGAGGATATTGCCCCCAGCTGCTTATCACGACTCATCAGCTGCAGGTTGCTGCTCCCATCTCCCCCTGTTTGCAGACGGGGATGGTGAAAGCCTTTGCTTGTCCGTTCTGGGCTGGGTCGGACACAAAGCTCCCACCCTTCATCAGAAGAGAGGGAGGGCTGACACTGGACAGTCTGGTGCTGCTGCTTGGAAAGCAGAGGTCTGTCTGGGAACTGGAATAATAGCATCTGCACAAGATTTCATCTTTCAAAGTGGTTTAGTTAAATCAATATTGTGCTGCTTACAAGAGCAACGAAACCAGTGCTGTCACCTTCGCAGTAAGCACAGGCAAACACAGCCCCAGCTCATCGGACTCAGTTAAATAGACTCTGAGGTATGGCACTGCTTTTCCACTTGCACTGGAATTTCAGTGTGAAACAACTGAAACAACAACACACCGCACTGAGAAAAGCCAGGAGGATAAGGTATTTTTTAAGATGTAATGTTATTTTGGCAGCAGAAAAAAACATTTTATACATATCTGTACATATGTATGTGCGTGTGTATGCAAAACAGTGGAATAACAAAACTGCAGAGGTTTTTAAAATGCATGGTTTTTTACTAGCAGATAATTCCTTTCTTTTCTTTCTGGAAAATCTTAAGTGGAAGCACCAAGTACAAGAAGTAACCTATTCTGTACATGTACCTGTGCTTTAGAAAGACCATACAGTGCCACCAGTCTAGTGACACTTGAAGATAAAAATCAAGAAAGAGTTCAAAATAGCTAAAGACATTTTTAATACAATGATTCAGATGAGCTTCGTGAGTAGAATCTTATGTCAAATGAGCACTGCATGTCCCAGAATAGGAGGAGTTAGTCATTTGAGTTTTGACACACTCAGCACATCCAATCATTTTAAGTTAGTGCAGATGATACAGCGATTAAAGCATAACATAAATCTAAACTGTGCCTACAGTAAAAAAGCTTTACTTTTGAGAGCACAAAGTCCATTGCAGTTCAAAGAACACAAAAGTTGTAATAATTCAATACTGAGCATCACCCTTTCGGTATTATTTTTTAAAACCTGACAATTTGCAGCAACAAAACATTGAATTCTGTTTTATTGCCATACTATAATCTGGCAAAGTTTTAAAACTTTCAGTAAAAACGGAGAATGTCACTGATGACACATTTTGTATTTGCTGCATGAGCATTGCATTAGTGCAGCTTTCAGACGTGAGCCAGATGCGTAAGCCCAGATGTTTAAGTACCCAGCACAGCGGAGCAGCAAACCACAGGCCAACTGATTCCTATGACAACTTCATAGAACCTTCCAGAGCAAAAGTAGGATTTGGGGATGCACTTGGGACCTCAGAAGCAAACTTCCCGGATTTCTAAACACACGTTTGGAAAAACGGAAGACAAGAACACCACAGGTAACCCTGCCCAAATATCTGTCACATTCCAGAGTGGGCACAGTGAACAGCGGTCGGCAAAAGGAGCAAGGCTCCTGGTGGCATCTTTAGGATGAAGAGGAGTAAACAAGACATGTAGTTACGCACCCCACTTCTATTCTGTTTCCCATTACAGGCACATCGTTATTAAGGACACACTTAAAAAACCTAAATTGGTGTATTAATTCTTTCCCAGTAACCTATGCTACAGAGAGGGAACTGCAGAAAGACACAGAAAAAGCAGTAACCCTCAATGGACTTAGCATCTCAGCTTTCTGCAGGTCCAAACTTTATGTACTCCATGATGAAAAGTTACTCAAATTTTAAGTGGCCACCATATCTGAAGTTTTTATGTGAGGGGTGCAAACAAATTAGGGACAATATGTAAATAGTGATTTTAACTGCCTCTAAAGAGAGCAAGCAAGCCTAAAATACCTCCAGATTCTCTCCTGTCTTTGAAATTATTACAGAAAATAAAACACAGTCTCTGTTGTAATCCTGACAAAAAAAATTCTGCCAATGATTCTAGAAAATATATCAGACTAAGTTATAAGTTTTAGAGTACTATTTTGCTCTTTAGGAATTAAAATAGCAACAAAACTTAAAACCTGCCATAATTATCACATCTTATTTATCAGTCTTCTCACTGATACAAAAGACGTGCTGACAGTGAAGTTCCCAAAGCAACCCACAAATACACATACCTCTGTTCCTTACTTTTCAAAGTTTTTTGTGTATGTTCTCCTAGAATTCAAATAGTACCAACACAGAGTACTGATCTGATCCAAGATAATGCAGTTAAACGCAGGAAGTCATCAGAGAATCATAAGAATAAGCATAATAGTTCAGGCTAGTGATGGTGTTGGTACTGGGAATCATTTGATGCTTAAGAAAAAGATTCAGCTAGTACTGATAATATGCTATGATAAAATGCTACCATATGGATGCTTGCATACTGTAGCAACCAAATCCTGACAGCTGATAGCCACCTTTAACAGACAGTGTGGAAGATAACCTTTGGTGAAGGAGAAGGAAAACGG